CATGCGTACTAAAGCCTGTGTGTGTTGGTCTAACCAGACTTCATCTCGTCGCGTATGCACGCCTCTTTAGGTGTGTTTTGTTTAGCTTTTGCAATATACTCGATAATGTCATGATGTCTCACAAGTTAAACCTGCGCAGATTTGGCTTGCATGAACTTCCCCAAGAAATTAATGAGTGAACATAATTTATGAAAAGTAATCCGCCAATTTGGCTAGTGATTTGACAGCGTTACCTCGTGTTAATTTCAAACCCTGATGGTAAATCTACCAAAATTGTTATATTGTCTCAGGTCACATGTGAACTATGGATCGCCTTTTCACAGGCGTCCAATCACAGCTGACTTCCGGGAAAGGGGACGTAACCAATGGCGTTTGAGATTACAATTAAACTCATCCGTCCCTCCCGAGGGGCCTATTGAATCCTATGGAGATACTTAAATGAGCCAAACAAGTGAAATCTTTAAAACTACACCAACTTGAGGCTTCATTAAGCTTTCAGATATATCTCAAGGCTTTCAGATATACAGTATATCAAAACATTAAAAATATATATATTTTGTAAAAAAAAATTCATACTGAATTTTAATCCAAACACATGCATATTTATACAGTTTCATAAGTATGTAATAAATATAAAATATTACATTTACATTTAGTCATTTAGCAGACTTATTTATTAAAATATAAAATTCATATTTTAATAAATATAAAAGTTAAATAAAAAAAATAAATATGATATAAACTAATTGGTCTCCACCCTATCACTCAAATTTATCTGTGTTAAGTCAAAAAATTTTTTTCAAAATGACAGTCATTTCCCAGCAGAAACATCATACATGCTATAATGTGTTTCAATGGGAGTGTGTGTGCCATGTGTGTGTTTGTGTGTGTGTGTGTGTGCCAGTGTGTGTGGGTATGTGAGCTTTTTTGCATTGGGGACATTCAGTCTCAGCCCTTTGTTTGGGTATGCATCTTTTTTGGATTGTGTCAGATTTTCTATAGTAAAAAAAATCTAATAAATAAAAAAATGCTGTTTTTTTTTTCGGACATTCAATTCATTCCTATGGCCGGGTCAAAATGACCCGCGAGGGACACTTTTGTTACTTTTTGTATTACACCCACATAGAATCCTCGAGTTGACTCAAAATTTTTTGTGTGTGCTCCATGCTCAAGTGTGACAAAATCCCATGCTTTTCCAGTGGTGGGTCAAAATGACCCGCGAGGGACACTTTTGATACTTTTTTATAGCACCCACTTAAACTGCTCGAATTCACTCAATTTTTTTTCATGTATACCCAGTTCAAGTGTCACAAATGTAACAAAGTCTCATTCCATAACAATCAATGCTCCGTTTTTAAAAAATCTTTAAAAATGAGTTTTGGGTCAAAATGTCCCAAAGGATGAGGGTTAAAACAGCAAGTCCCGACCCACGACCAGGGCCGGATTAACATAAGGGCAAGGCGGGGCTGAAGCCCCAGGGCCTGCAAATTGAGGGGGCCTGACGTGATTGGCTGTGGAGGAAAGGAAAAGTAGACCTATGGCCATTGGGAGCACCCAAGCTTTTTCCGGTGTGCCGATTGCAGAAATCCCACCATGCCTCCACATATTAGTGTCTGTGTTATTTTTGTCCAAAAGATATGAGCGATAAAAATGTCTTTGTACTCGTTTACACGTACAGTCATGGGTGGGAGACATCGGTCCAGCTGTTCTTTTGCGCTGCGCGGTTTAATCAGGTAATGTAGTGCCGTTTCATCACTTGGCTTTAAGTGTTTGTTTCCCATGCACTACAGTAAAGCCGAGGCGTTTAGAAGATACCCGCAACTCTAGTGTAAACGAGCACAAAGACATTTTTATTGCTCATAACTTTTGGACTGAAATAGCACAGACACTATATGTGGGGGTGTGGTGGGATTTCTGCAATCGGCATATCGGGGAAAGCTTGGGTGCTCCCGATGGCCAATCAATTCTAGGTCTACTTTTCCTTTCCTCCACAATCACGTAAGGCGCCCTCAATTCGCGGGCCCTGGGGCTTCAGCCTAGCCTAGCCCTTACTCTATTCCATCCAGATTGTTCTGGAAAAATCAGTATATCACCTCAAATATGTCCTCTCCAGAAGTTGCTTTTGCAAAACAAAATATGCTCATTTATGTCAGTATCTTCTTGGCATCTTCAAGGCAACCACATGTTCTTCCACACTACAACATTCAGTTGTAATGTGAATTGATTTGCTTGTTTCTGTTTATACTATTTTATCAACAATATTAAAATTCCCCTATTATGCTTTTTCAAATATTACCTTTCATGTAGTGTGTAGTATCCACCTTATTTTTTTAGTAAGCCGTTTTCTGTGAATGTGCGAGACTTCTGATTAATTTGCCGCTGTAGGGAAATAACAAGAAGAGTAACAACAGTGCAGTAAAGGGTAAAACTGTTTGTACTATCAACCAGTTTGTTTATAAGACAATATATTGAAATTAGATGGTAAGAAACAATATCAAGCAGCAAAACGAGCTGTTTTGTACAGATAAAAATAACTGGAAGCTGATAACACCGGAAGCCAGACACATTCAATTTACAAATTTAATGCTATTACCTTTTATTATTATGCCTGCTATTACGGGAAAAATAAGGTGGATAGCTGTTTGTGAATGTACAATGTCTGCAGAGCTTTAAAGCTCCAAGTGCATGACAAATAAATTCTGAAATGCCGAAACGAGTCATCAGTAATTCCAGTCTTACTTCTGTAACTTATTGACATAGGTATGTAAGACATTAACATAATGCTATAGCCTGCGGCCTTCATTGGCTGCCCACGAACAACGTCTACTTTAACCCGCTCTTAAACAATTTAGTTGGTTGTGTTGTCGAGAAGATGCTGTTTTCTGTGCTGCAAAAGCCATTTCTTTTTTGTATACACTTCCAAATGGTGAGGATATAAAGAGTCAGTGATTAAAATTACCACAGCAGTATAACCTTTTGTTGTATTACCGTCATTTTACTGACGGCTGCTTCTCAAATCTTGGCGAGGTCAACATGGGACTTATCCTTACTTGTTAATGCTAATGTAGAGGAATTACAGTTACAAAGTCTCATAAAATATGACCAAGTAAGTCAAAACTTATCAATGGGAAATGTCCTGCTCAAGTCGTCATTGCAATGGGAGGGGTTTAGAGAGACTGAATCTTCTAAATAATCATTTTAGAACGGGACACTAAATACGTTTGCTAAATGGTAAAGTACATTTCAAATAGGCTAAATGCCAACAGAGTGTGCCTGCACATTTATGTTTCTCTTAAAATGCCATTTGTTTTGATTTTCCATAATGTTCCTTGAAATGGTTCTGATTTCAGCATGCTTTAGAACTACACCTGGACTATAATTCAAATTTTTTTTAATGTGAAATTAACACACCCATCTTTCCTAGATGCTCACATTTAGGGCTGCCACTAACGACAACTATTTTTATTTCGATTAATCTATCGACTAATTTATTGATTAATCGGTTAATCTTAACGATCAATTTCCCACAAAAACATTCAAACCAAATGAAATCCAAATTTCTATGAAATCCTTTTTTTAAAGCAAAAGTAAAGTGCAACATAGAGTGCAAGAAGCAAGTGTTCATCTCGTAGTTCAAATCACTGAAATCAAAGTTCAGTATTATAGTGTAAGAATGATAACATATCCACGTGTTCTAGTCTACTAATAATACAATTATAATCAAAAAACACTTTTTAAAGGAGTATTTAACAGAAATATTATTTACCAGAATTTATTTAGGAGAAAAATGTAAATGTGCAGTATTTCTGAAAAAGAAAAGAAAAGAAAAAACTTTTTTTTTTTTATTAAATCAATTATTTGGAGATGCTTTTGATTATTAAAATGTAATGGAACCATTAAAATTTAATCCAGAAAATAATGGAAAACAGAATTTGGTAAAGATAAAACTGTAAAACTCAATTAATTAGACAGGCTTTTTGATTAATACAATTTAATTTAACCATTAAAACAGAGTATAGAAAAATGAAAATGGAGAAAAAAACTGAATTTGGAAATAAAACGGATTTCATAGGGCCCTATAATTATAATATTTTTTTTTGTGGTAATAAAAATAGATGTAAGTGAACAATAGCCTTTAAAATGACTTAAAATACATATATAAAAGCAATGAGGCCATAATAATTAGTTCAAATAAAGTATCAGAAGCAAGAAATCATATGTTTTATTGAACAAAATTGTTCAAATACATAATGTATTATAAACAATAGAGCTAATGTACTTGTTCTGTTTCTTCATGTAATCTCAGACAGACTGATGATGACCAGATCAGATCTCTGTGTGCAGCACTCATTACTTCATTACTGACACTACAGCAAAAGATATAAAAATAACTGACTTACATTTATTTATTTTTTTTGGTGAAAATACTAGTAAATAAGTACATTTTATTTATATAGCACATTTAAACATAGCAAAACTATCCAAATTGCTGAACAATATAAAATAAAGTAAAAGTAAATAAAAATAAATAAATAAAAAACAGAGTAAGATCAAACAAGATAATAAAACAAAAGTAGAGTAAATTTAAACCGCTAAGGAGTAGAGATATGTTTTTAACCTACTAATGACCCAAGTCTTATATCCCAAACATACACACACACTCTTACACACACACACACACACATTTACACACACATAGACACACACACAAACAAACATACACACACACTCTTACACACACACACACACAAACACACATTTACACACACATAGACACACACACACACATAGACACACACACACACATAGACACACACTCTTACACACACACACACACACACATAGACACACACACAAACAAACATACACACACACTCTTACACACACACACACACACACACACATAAACACAAACACACACACAACAACTAGTTTTTTTATGTACAACTAGTTATAAATATTATAACACATAACCCAAACACACACAGCAGACAGAAAATAATGTCCTCTGAGTGTGAGGTAGGTTTTAATGAGTATTTACAGAGTTTTTACCTTGTTTCGTTTTTTGTTTCTGTGCTCGGCTGTGTTCACTGATGTGTTAACCCGCTGTTTACTAGTCCCTGTAATGTTCACTTTAATACGATACTTTGGGTCGCTGTTCGGAGCACTGCTCTACTCTCTCACGGGCTTTCGAATAATAATCAGGCTGCCATGCTGTGGTTGCTGGGACAATCCTTCAGAGGAATGTGCTGGACAGAGCATTCACACACTCTTATACACACACACACACACACACACACACACACACACACACACACACACACACACACACAC